GGTTTTGTGGAGAAATTATGAGTAGTCAATGTTTTACCTGCAGCATCAACAGTATGAGTGATCTTGTTATGGAAAATCAGATATAAACTCTCATCTGAGAGTCAAAACTTATAAGAGTCCATTTCTGGCACCAAAATATGTCAAACTTCAAAATGGTAAAAAAAAAAAATTTAAATAAAATAAAATAAAAATAAATACATAAATCTGTCAGTGATGCTTTTTGTACCATTTCACGTTTGCATGATTTTTTTTTTTTGGTACCAAAAATTATACATACTGACACATAATCAATACACAACAACATGTTGTGAAGAGGCTGTGTTAGGTGTAGCCACAACCAGTGCTTATTTTGATCCAGATCCTGCCAGAACAGGATCTGGGACTCTCTTATTTTGACAGGGTGCGTTCCGGTAACGGTTTGCTTGGATCTGGTTACTCTCAGGCTTACTAATAATGAAGTTATGTAATTGAGCATGGACTATTTTGGTTATGTAAGGAAGCTTAGTTCTCAAACCTTAGATTCACCAAAACATTGAATAAATTTGGAATAATTTATTTATTAACCTTTATATAACCAGGCACATACCATTGAAATCACAGATCTCTTTTGCAAAGGAGGCCTGGACCTGAAGGCAGACTAACATGCATGTTTTTGGTCTGTGGGAAGAAACCAGAGTACATGGAGAAAACCCACACAAGCACGAGAAGAACATGCAAACTCCACATAGAAAGATTCACTAAGATTCATAACTGGCTGTGATTATCGTACCCACCACTGCACCCTGTATTCATTGGTTAACTGGACATCATTAACTTCACGCAGACTCTCTCACTGGTACATTTTCATCTTTAAATCACTTCTTGGTCTGCTGCCTTCATACATCTCCTCCTACATGTCTCTGCGTGAGTGCAGCTACGGAGTGCGCTCTCAGGACATTATTACCTGCAGTGTTCCCTCAGTGAGGACTGAACTAGGCAAAAGGGCCTTCTCCTACTCCGCTCCTGTTTCCTGGAATATCTTACAAAAAGATTTGAAGCTCTCGACCTTGACCTCTCTAAGTGGCTTTAAGAATCTGTTGGACTCCTGGCAGGGTCCAATGCTGACATGTTCCTGTTTTTAGTTTTATACATTTGTCTTGGAATCTAGCTGTTTTTTTTTTTTTGGTTTTGTTACCTTTTTCCTTTTAGCCATCCTATTTGTTAAAAAAAAAAAAAAAAAAAAAAAAACTGTAGTATGAGTTTTTATAACTGCTTATTGTTGTTGCTGTTGTCCATTGTTGTCATCTTTCTTTGTTGAAATCAGGTCTCTCTTGTAAATGAGTCCTCGAGGCTCAATGTGATTTACCTGTATAAATAAAGGTTGATTGAAAGACACCAGGTCCAACCAGGGATTGAACCCAGGACCTTCTTGCTGTGAGGCAACAGTGCTAACCACTGAGCCGTTGTGCGGCCAAATTAAATGTGGAATGAATTATGACACAAACGGGTCAGTAAAATCTTTATTTATTTATTTTTTTTGCATGAGTTGGATCCTCGATGCTACCTGTCAATCAATCCAGTGGGCTCGTCAGCAACTGACCAATCAGTGATCTCAGTTAGTCCTGAAGTGAAATGTCCCTTAGCTGCAGGAACTGGAGGGTTGGGGACTTGTTAGGATGTGTGAGAGAAGTGGAGCGTGCTAAACAACTACCAATAGTAAGGAGGCCATCTTTGTGAAAATAAATCGTCCATCATTAAACAGGGGTCAAGGCCTCCGGGTTCAATTGTCCTCCTCTTACAATGCTGTGATTGCTAGTATCACTCAGCCCTCTGTGAGTAGTAAACAGCCATCAGTGTGCTAATGATCCATTGTTAGGCTGATGGTCCTTCTTGAGCATGTGATCAGCTGGTTTTGGTTGTCAGCAGCAAACTGGTTGATCCACTCTGAGAAGGTGCTATTTAAGAGACTGAGCTGAAAACAGCACCTCAGACTCAGGAAGTCTCTTGGATGAGAGACGAGACGTTTCTATATTTTTTTGCTTTGTTTTGTTTTTTGTTTTTTTGAATGTCCAGAGGACCAGATTGAACTTTTTTGGATACCAATAGTAAGGTAAGAAATAATACTGTGTTTAATAGGATACACTTACAAATAACACAAAGTGTTTAAAAGTGAATTATAAATATAAATTGGTTTGGTTTTGTGACATTTGTGTGCCTAAGCATTGTGTTGTGTGTGTTCTGGTATCAGTGTTGACATGGTATAGCACCACTATGTGTTCCGGCATCATTTGGTTTACAAATCAAGCACTGCCCACGTGTTGCTGTCTAATACAAAACAGCTGCTGTGTAAAAATCTGTTTGCTTGAATGGCAATATAATTATTTAAAGATCTGAAGTGATTAGGGTGGTGGAAATTTGCTCTTACATTGGACCTCATAAATTTGGTTTAGCCTGACTCCCCAGAAGGAAAAAACATTGCTCTGATTGTCATTCCTTAAATGTAAGTGCTCCACAAAAACTATACAAACTTTTGTCCCCAAACCTATATAAAGAAAGATACTGTTGATCAACCATGGATTACGAAAGGATTGAGAAATGCATGTAAAAAAAAAGAATTATCTGTATTCATGTTTCTTGAAATCCAGAACACATGAGGCAGAAAATAAATATAAAAAGTACAAAAATAAATTAGTTGGGATCATAAGAAAACAAAAGAGGGAATATTATAGTGAGTTATTACATAAAAGTAGTGGTGATATGAAGGCAACATGGCGAGTAATGAACAGTGTTCTGAAAAAAACACAAGGTTAGTACAAGTCTTTCTCAATATTTTGTGGAAAATAATGTGGAAATCCATGATGAAAATGAAATCGTAAATGGATTTAATAATTACTTTGTAAATGTTGGATCTAACCTTGCAAATACAATACCAAAAGTGGATAAAAATGTGAGTTATTTAATCAGTGATTGTGTAAACAGTATGTTTCTAAAGGGAACTGACAAAGAAGAAATAATGAAGGTAGTTAAAAAATTTACTGACAAAAGATCAAAAGACTGTGAAGACATGGATATGATGGTTGTAAAAGCAATAATAAGTCATGTTATTGAGCCATTTACATATATATGTAATTTGTCATTTTCAACAGGAATATTCCCAGACAGAATGAAAATAGCTAAGGTAGTTCCTCTTTTTAAACATGGTGACAAATGTGTATTTAACAACTACAGACCTATATCTTTGTTGCCACAATTCTCAAAAATTCTAGAAAAACTATTTGTGACCAGACTTGACCTATTTCTTGATAAAAATAGTATTTTAAGTAATAGTCAGTATGGATTCAGATCAAAAAATTCAACATCCATGGCTCTTATGGAATTGATGGAACAAGTTACTACAGCTATAGATCAAAAACAACATTGTATAAGTATATCTGTGGATTTAAAAAAAGCATTTGACACAATTGACCACACGATTCTGATTAATAAATTAAAAAAAAATATGGCATTAGAGGACCAGCTTTGCAATGGATATGTAGTTATTTAAAAGACAGAAAACAGTTTGTACAAATAGACGATGTAAGATCAAACCTAAACAGTATTTCATGTGGAGTGCCACAAGGCTCTGTACTTGGACCTAAGTTGTTTATTTTGTATGTAAATGATTTGACGGAGGTGTCCAGTATCCTAAAATGTGTTCTCTTTGCTGATGATACCACTTTCTTTTATTTGGGTAAAGACTTGGAACAGATGTTTGAGTTAATGAAGATGGAGTTTGTCAAAATACAAAATTGGTTTAAATTAAACAAGTTATCACTGAACCTAGATAAAACTAATTATATGATATTTAGTAAGAAAATATAACTGTCGATGTTCCTTTTAGAGTTGATGGTGTTGAGATATGCAGAGTAGGTGAGGTGAAATTTTTGGGTGTAATTATTGATGATAAACTGTCATGGAAACAGCACATAAATTCTGTAAAAACTAAAATATCTAAATCCACCGCAGTACTGTATAAAGTAAGGGACTTATTGAATGATAAAGCCTTGTATTTGCTGTATAATACAATTATAGTCCCACATTTAATTTATTGTGTTGATGTTTGGGGAACAGCATGTAAAACTATAACGATGCCTATTTTTATTTTGCAGAAAAGAGCTATAAGAATTATCACAAAAAAGCATTATTGTCATCCATCTAGTATTTTATTTTATCAATTGAAATTACTGAAGTTTCATGATTTGGTTAACTATAATATTCTTTTAGTACTGTATAAAGCTCAGAACTACACACTACCTTCAAATATTCAAACGTATTTTGTAAAAAGGAAAAGTTGCTATAATCTTAAGGGAACAGACATTTTTGTTAAACCACAGTACAGAACCAGTTTAAAGGGGCGGTCTACTTCAATTCAGGGAATAGGTCTGTGGAATAGTTTGGAAAACGATGTAAAAAAAAGTAAGGTCATTGCCTATATTTAAGAAAATGATTAAGATTAAAATTTTGGAAAGATATATATAAATACGTAAAATTGTGATGAGTTAATTATTTTGTTATATTACTTATAGATGATTATTGTTTGAATTGATTGTTTGAATTGATTTTGTTTTAAACAAGGGGCAGATATGATAAGATTTTTTCTTCTTCTGCTACCTTTCATTTTCTGACGTGTTTTTTTTTTTCTCATTTGGTTTCTAAATTGTTTGTGTTTTAAATATGAAATGAATAAAAATGACAAACAAACAAACAAACAAACAAA